GGTATGTTGAGAAATATAACTCGTATATAATGCTGAGATATTTGCAAAACTCCGGACCGCAGGTGTATGCGGTGGAAAACGGACGCGCTATTGTCCTTACCGGGGAGTAGCGCACTTCATCACCACACCATCCGGGTCCTTCGTTGATGGCAAAAGATCAATAGAACTATCTGAGAGACAGGCAAAACGAAGGACCCGGATGGTGTGGTGGTGAAGTGCGCTACTCCCCGGTAAGGACAATAGCTAGCGCGTTCGTTCCCCACCGCATACACCTGCGGTCCGGAGTTTTGCAAATATCTCAGCATTATATACGAGTTATATTTCTCAACATACCCTGCCATTAAAAAGAAAAAGGCAGTAAATAAAAGGGTTAAGATTGTATCCGTTTTGTTGCGCTTCTATGTTATGAAATCATTTTAGCAACTTATTTGGGATGGATCGGAAGAAACACGTGAGGCGCATACCCTTGCTGTCCAAAGTCAAGTCACCATAGGTTGGTTTTTTTGTTGTTGTTCGCGCCATTTTTTGGTGTTTTCGTGGATGGTCAACTATACATTTTGGTTTATGGATGTCTATTAGTCAGAGTGGTTATGCAAGTGGCTTTGTTCCTTTAGTTATATTGCGACTACTTTTGTTTCAGTATGATTATTATTTTACGAGTTTAGTTGGGTTATTCCAGACCAGCAAATCCATGAAATCCATCGTCAGCATGGTTTCCTTCCTGACTCATCTAAGGAACGCATTGGGGCGCAACCTCCTGCGCCACCAGCATCTCGTAGCGCTGCTGGAACCAATGTCACTCCAGTTGTACCACGAATGTTCGCTACGCCGAATGGGACTGGTCTCATGCCATTACCACCAGGATTTGCACCACCTGTACCACAATCCTCCTACCCACCACCACCTCCACCAGGGCAGGTTTGTAATCTGCAAGTCATACTAATATTTGTTTTTATGGTTGGAACATTACATCGACACACCGCAGAGTTGAACACTTCCAGGTAGCAGATGGTACTCCACCCGTTAAACGCCAAAGAACGGAAGAAGACTTAGAGCCGGAGGCTGAGTGGCTCACAAAGGTGCAAGCACGTTTACGCTATTTGCTCGCTTTTCCTTTTTTTTTTTTTTTTTTCGTAATCTGTAGACTCTCTGCACTTCATTGAATTCCTTTCCTTTTTCTACGGAGAACTTTTACTTTTTATACGTATATGAGAAAAATCGTTAGAAGAGAATTTAGGTAACTGGGACGATTGACTTACGCATTCAACTTCCAACAAGTGCAGAATTTAACATGGACGGATCTATTATTGGACTTCCAATTGAAATTACTTCACAGGTGAATTACCTTTTTTGGAAGGATGGGACTATTGTTCCATCAAATTTTTAAGGTGGAAATTTTTAAATAATGATTTAAGGTCTCCGATCTGAAGCAAATGCTTCAAGATAGATTGAGCATGCCAACAGGGAAACAAAAACTCGTTTTCGATGTGAGTAACCATGCATCATTGTTGAAATTTCATTGTTTGCTCCATTGGTTGAAAAAGAGTTCGGTTTAATTCTTTGTGTCATTTTCTCGTCTTAGTTATACAATATGATAGCGCTGTCGTTCAAAAACTTGAAACCGTTCAGGGATTCTTCTTGAAAGACAATTTCTCCTTGGCTTACTACAACATGAAAAACCAGTCGTTTGTGATCCTTCAAATCAAGGAAAGAGGTGGAAAGAACAAGTAAGCGCTGCGCTTAACGTTATCAATTATTCCATGGTTTGTGCTTGTACCGTAATAGTTTGTTAAATGTATTAGAACGTGTTAATAAACGTATTTATAACAGTTTTTCAATTTAAAAACTTAAAAAACTAATCAAACAACGTACATGTCAAATGAGGCAAACAGGTATTGTGTCTCTAGAATTTGGCACATGGCCAGTGAAAAAATGTCGGCTATTAAGTGAATCTTCTTTTTAGAGAAGAGTGAAGTGAAGTTTTATGTGAAATATCTATAATACAAAGAGCACCGTTAAAAAAAGGAATGCTTGTGTTACTGCTGACTGTATACCGCGAGAGGCATCGCTAATAAGACATTCAATAGTTAAATCCTGAAAATATTAGCTTACGACTTGTTCTTTTTAAGTGTACTGCTTGAACCAAATCGAGTAACCTCATTCTCATCGACCGTTGTATTGTATGAAGGTAGTGGCCGTTTCTCGAAGTACATCACTTTTTCGCAACCTTCCACTGAAACACGTCAAATACTATTGTGAAGCGAGGCTGTTTGTTGGTCTGAGTGGAATTATGGGATAGAACTTACGTATTTGAGATTGGAGTGGGTATTTTCGTTTTTCCCGATAACCTGGACAAGCGCGGTCGACTCGTATCACTGTGAGAGTGGTGTGCGGTACGGGAAACACTCGGGCGTACCTAACAGTGACCAGTGTTTTTTCAGTTGTAACGCGTCTATTTTTAAATTATGTCTGGATAGAGAAGTTCGAGCGGCGTGCTGGGTTTTTTGGAAGTAAATATTTGCTGTGGGGCAAATGCAAACAGGTAGCTAAAGGTGATGGAAAGAAGAGGGGTGGAATCAAGCGATGGAATCTGTCTCTGGTCTTACCTGGCACACGTCATATCGCTCAGTTGAATTTGTTTTGAAATATTTAACGTCACTTTGTAATTGGTAAGACGTATAAAACATCTGGAAGCAAATAAGTAGTCATACCATTTAAGGATGAATTACGAACGAATCTTTAAAGGATGGATAAGAAACATTTTATATAAAACGTATCAAATTTCATATTTTGTGTCTGAACAATAGCCCTCTACCAACTGGGTCAGCTTCTTGTACCTGTAGGGTGCCTATGAATGTCGAACTGCGATGCACAGTGAGAATCATTTGAGTAATTCAGCATTTCCATCTGGAACCGCATCGAAGCCTAAACCAGTTCCATGGTGTAGACGGCGGAAGGACCCTTGCTTACCAATGCGCTAAATAGAATAGGTAAAGTGCCTCGTATTATGAGTATGGATCCAGTGGGCGATGGAGTTTACTGGGCAGCATTCGAAGAATAACGGGTTTACGAGTGATATGTGAGCGCAGTGGGTAGACGTATCTTGAAATAAATATTCCATAGCCCCACATTCAGGGGAAAATCAATCCCTCCGTCGTCAAATTTGTATACGACATGTTTAGGAGGATGTTTAGGACCTCATTGATGTGATGACATATCGTGGTCCCGCAAAGTCAATGTATATGCACCAAATGCGCACCCATGTGCCTCTGCAATATTAGGAATTGAGTGGAATACATGGCGCATCTTTAAGGCATTTACCAACTCCGAATGCTGTGTCCTTTACTGTGTTTTATAGACGATACAAAGAATTAGTGATTAGTACCTTTCAACGGGTTTGATTCGTTGGAAGCGACAAAGACCACCGGACATTGATGGCTGGGCGGTGACGGACGACGTCATAAGATAGTATAATTCGATCCTAATCAAGAAGTTGTTTAATCCTCTTTAAAAAAAACTAAAAGAGTGTATTTCCACCAGAAAGTCTTTCCAATGATCGTTGCAATGCTATTAATGAGCGCTTGAAGTGGGTTAACACGATATGCAGCTGGACTGGACCACGGTGCTGACCGAGTGGCCGTGCATTCCGCCTGAGCGTCCACCCATGAGCTACTGAAAGTGCTAGGTTCGCTTCATAATTTCAATTATATTTGTAAATCCTTGACCTTTCAAGCTTTGTAAAACTTTTAGACAAGCCAGGTTTGTTTCAACTGATTTGACTACAGCATGAAGTCGTATGCTCTAACGAATTCGAGGCTCTGCATTACTCAGTAATGAATCTTGACCTTGCATGTAACTCACGTTGCAACCAGACCGTTTTCCTCGAGACTATCGAACAGTTGTGGATCGAATCGTGCCAGTGGTGCTGGACTTCGTGACGTCGACGATGCCAAGACGAATCCGTTTCGAGTGATAAGCAGACAATCCATCTGCATTGGATAATTAGACATATTTAAATAGTTTTTTCAACTGTAAGTCAAGTAACCAATAGCAGAGCGGACATTTTAGAACACTTTTCTCACACTCACTTTCGTACAGTCAGACCACTGTTTCGTTGACCGAGTCCAGTTCATAAACAACGCGTTCAAATATGGCATTCTCCACTGTACACCGACAGTGGCTAATCGATTATGGTATTGATCAGTGATCGATCGATAAGCATTGATAATGTCGTTTTTGACGGAAAATTGAAGCATTTCGGCCGAATTATCCTTTATCACACGTTCCGCGTCGAATTTCATCGTGATTTCTTTCATGTACGGTTTTGAGCTAAAACGATACGGTATCGTATGTTCATGCGAAGATTTGAGGATGAGTCAAAGACCAAGTAAAGCATAAACTACTAAAAACGGTGTTTGGAAGAATTACTGGGGACACCTGCAAAACTGGGAGTCGGATTTAGAAAGATTGAAGATAAAATTCCATTGAGAAAATTCCCCGTTGCTCCGAATAGATTCAGCTTCGATCAGAAGCACCACTTACAAATTTGAAAGACCCATCGTCAGAGTTTTCTATCTAAAGAAGAGTTTCATTGCTCTCTACACTGTTCTAACTCTTTTTTTACACTCATTAGTTCATTCGTTCCACTCATTCTCGTTCATTATGTGGACGATCCAACCTACATAGACACCGGTTTGAGCTTGCCCAAGAGCCCATCAAGCCTCTTATCCCTTATCCTTATCCTCGGGAGTTGGGACAATGGTACCAGACTTGCCAGCGATCAGGTTACTCTCTCCAACCCAGAAAAGAACGCTGTAGAACAACTATTTCAATAGACAAAAGAGAGTCTATTCGACCAACTTTCAACGGCATTCAGGACGGCGAAAACTCCCTCCAAGCAGCAGCCGAGGCCGCACGCAAAGAGGTTCTGGACCGTTGTGAAAGATGATGCGAAAAAACGAGTCGAGTACAGGAAGTGTTAGGATCCGCACAGTGCGATACGCGTGATCTCAGGTCATGTAATAACAAAAAAAAACTTATCAAATAAGAATTGTGAGCTCGTTTCTCCACAGTTCTCATAATTTTGCATATGCATGGTTATGGTTTTTGAAGGGCGTATGTGGTGCAGTGGGCGGAGGCACCTCGCAACGCACACATAGGATCGATCCAGGCGCCAGTGGCTCATCAAGCTTTCCATCTCTCCGGAGTGGGTAAATTGGTACCAGACTTGTCTGGGAGGATAGCAGCATTCGTTCGATACATCGGTAGGCCACCGCGAGTCATTGTAAAGGTCAGATATGCATTCAATCACCTCCAAACGATGCATAATGAAGTGAAATGCATGGCGAATCCCTCAGGGATTGATCAACGCCGAGAGCTTTCATCCTTTACACAGAATATGGCCCCATGTAACGATCCCTTTTTCAGATAAACCGAATTAGACGCAAACTCAAAAAATCGCGTGTACCTACCAGCTTGGGAAGTAAGCTTCAATTTGTGAGCGAGTATGTACAAAACTGTTGACAAAATATCGTGCTGCAAATCCTGATGGTAACGGAAGATCCTCACAAGAAAACTTAGACATGTTATCTGAAACGGAAAGAAATT